GTTTAAGCAGTTGTTTTAATCGATCGTACTGACTTTGAAGCGTAAGGCAGGGTTAGAAATGGTCTTGCATGTACAAAAGAAGTCAGTTACAGTATTGAACAAAATTATAGTGTATTGCCAAAAGGATAACATTGTACATGTAAATGGTAAAGAAATCCCAGGTCAAAATTAAGTTTTATAGCCATTAGGATGACACTATACATGTAAACGGTAAAGTAAGTTGTTTTGTGCTTAATAAAACAAACTAATAAAAAATAAAATTACACACACATATACATATATATATATATATATATATATACATACATATATATATATATATATACACACACATACACATACACACACATATATATACATATACATATATATACATATATATACACATATATATATATATATACATATCTATACAATATATATATATATATATATATATATATATAATGTTAATAAACAAGTCTTGAACAAATAAGTTAATGGCTCCATCCGGTTTGAGCAGTTGTTTTAATTGATCGTACTAACTTTGAGAACCACCGGTTATTTATTAGGGCCCATTAAAGTCCACAAAGTGTAAAGAGTAATAATAGTCATAAAATTGTTATTTACTGTACACTAAAACTGGCAAATATTGGACAAAATTCAATCCAGACTCAACATTGCGTATGTTTAAACGATATATCGTGCAGCCCAACTGCCTAGTGAAATGACTTGCCTTAAAGGCACTGTGAGGTAATAAGCCAGTAGCTAACAGAATGAATTGTAAACTAAAGTGTTAGCGTCATGGTTGCTCAGTGGTTACTAGCACATTCGCCTCACAGCCACTGGTTTGGCCAGTTGGCATTTCTGTGTGGAGTTTGCATGATCCCTTTGTGTTCGCGTGGGTTTCCCCAGGGTGCTCTGATTTCTTCCACAGTCCAAAGACATGCGCTATAGGTGAATTAAAGAAATTAAATTGGCCATAGTGTATGAGTGTGTGAATAAAGGCTGATTTATACTTCTGCGTCAAACGTCGGCGTATGCTACGGCGCTGACGCATAGCCCTTCGCGTCGCTGACGTGCACCTCTCAAAAATTGTAACTACACGTCGCAACGACGCGTAGCGCAAGCTCTGTGATTGGTCGGCTTGGTAGTGCTGACGAGTCCGGGCAGGACCGAGAGCCGCTCGAATGGCGCAAGCCTGATGGAGCGATTGTTTACTAGCATGGAGTCCTGTGAAGGAGCTCCAGATGGAAAGTTTTGTTTTGTGTTTACCTCATAGTTAAAGTTGTTGCACGTCCGCCGGTTCCTGCCTCAAAATGAGCGAGTTTGAGCCACTTGTACATCCAGGAAGTGTACAGGAAAAGCAAAACAGCAGAGAAGAAACTCGACACCTCTACCTTTACACCTCACTGCCAACTAGTGTTCTGGAAGTGTTAATTCAGACCAACAGAGACAGGGCGCAGAAGTATAAATGCACAGCTACGCGCGTTGCATGCGGCGTGGGTCACGCCGGTCACTTGACGCAGAAGTATAAACCAGGCTTAAGTGTGTATGGGTGTTTCCCAGTACTGAATTGTGGCTGGAAAGACATCCGCTGTGTAAATACAAATGCTGGAATAGTTGGCGATTCATTCTGCTGTGGCGACCCCTGATAAATCAGGGACAAAGCCGAAGGAAAATGAATGAATAACTAAAGTGTTACCAAACCCCTTCTAAAGCTAAAACACAACAAAATTTAAAGCATAATAGCATACCTGGAGAATCCCTTTCCGCAGACCGAACATACGTAAGGTTTGTGGACACCTCCATCATGCGAGCGTACGTGATACGTCATGCGGTCTTTCCTCTTGAAGCGCTGCTGGCAGATCGGACACTCGAAGGGCTTTTCGTCCGAGTGCGACAGCTTGTGCCTGTTCAGATGATAAACGTCCCGGAAGGCCTTGCCGCACATTTCACAGCCATGGTTCTTCTTGACGGGCTTGGGTGGTTTCTTGGGGGCGCTGTGCTGAGTCACGTTAGACATGGACGTTGGTGACATGACAGTCGAAGCAGAGGAAGTTGAAGTAGTGGCTGTCGAAAGGATTCCAGCAACAGTGGAGATGTACGAAGGGTCGCCGGTGCTTTCACGAGACATGCTGGAAATGAGCGGGACCATTGTGGGCGCCGCCTGTGCCGTTTTTTTGGGTCTGGATACCATTTTGATGCCGGTGTGGCAGGACTCGTGTCTGCGGAGGTGGTAGCTGTCGCGGAAGGCCTTGTTGCAGTAGCCGCAGATGAAGGGCGTTTTGCTTTTGTGCTCTTTTTTGACTACAACCATTGGACCAGCATTGCCGCCACCACCTCCTCCACCTGTCCCGCTGACGACATTGTCTTTGAGGAGGTCTGCAGCGCTGACGGGGGGTTTGTGGTCCAGGGGAATGGGCATCACAGGCTTCTGGTCCTGTGGCTCAGAGTTCAGCAGCGGCAGCAGGCTGTTTGGGGCCACCTGGTGCTGGTGGTGAAGGGCTTCATTAGCCTGCTGAAAGGAGGAGACAGAAGCGGAAGGCAGGGTTAGAAATGTTCTTGCATGTACAAAAAAAGTTAATTACAGTATTGAACAAAATTATGGTTTATAGCCATAAGAATAACATTGTAAATGTAAATGGTAAAGAAACCCCAGGTCAAAATTAAGGTTTATAGGCATTAGGATGGCTTTGGAGATGTAAATGGTAAAGAAACTCCTCGTCAAAATATGATTTAGAGCCGTTAGGATGACACTGTACACGTAAATGGTAAAGAAACCAGAGGTAAAATTAATGTTTAGGCATTAGGATGACATTATACATGTAAATGGTAAAGAAAGTTGTTCTGTGCTTAATAAAACAAAATAATAAAATAAAGTAATAAAAACTAAAAATGATAAAAATAAAACGAATTAAATAAAGAATATCTAAATAAAACAAAATTATAGCAGACTATTATATCAAACATTAATTTATAAAAAAAAACTGAATAAGTAATTTAATTTTTATATATTTTTTTATTTTAATAATATGAAATATTTAAGTAATAAGGAAAGAAATATTTAAATTTGTTTACAAAATAAAATTAAAAGCAGTTAATCAAAACTGTGTCATCAATTATACACACATATCTATACACACACACACACACCTTTAATACTACTACTACTACTAATAATAATAATAAAAAATTGGCATTTCTGTGTGGAGTTTGCATGTTCTCCCCATGTTCGCTTGGGTTTCCTCCGGGTGCTCTGGTCCTACAAGCTCAAAGACAAGCGCTATAGGTGATTTGAGAAAGCTAAATCGGCTGTAGTGTATGTGTGTAAATGAGAGCGTATGGATGTTTCCCAGTGATGGGTTGCAGCTGGAAGGGCATCCACTGCGTGAAACATATGCTGGACAAGCTTTAAGTTATGATGAACACAGTTTCCATAATTATACTTTATTAACAGAAAAAGGTCTATGGTTCTGCATACAAGGACTTAATCTTGCTGGAGTTGATAGCCGTTTCACTTTACTTCAGGACGCATTAATGCCGCTCTGTAAGTCTATTTAAAACATTCATAAATATTCCTAGCAAATCTAATAAATGTTGGAGACATACTCACTACATAAACGTGCTAAATCACACTTCAGCCGCGTTTATTTGAGGGCGGCAAGAAAATCTGCACTTGAGCAGGGTATATTTGAGGGCGCGCAATAAGTTGTGCACGAAAAGAGGAAATCAGCGCTGGAGCAGAGATTGACATGCTCGTAGGCCATTACATGAATGCGATCTCGACTTAATACTGCGCCCACGACATTTGTCAATGAAATAACGCCACATGTAGTGGTAGATCTGTGTAAAATGCCCAATAGAGCCTGCTGCCACAGCTGAAAAAAATACTAGAGGAAACACTATGATGCCTTTTTTTTCTGGAATATATTAGAAAGGAGGAGACCGAAGCGGAAGGCACGGTTAGAAATGGTCATGCATGTACAAAAGATGTCAAAAATGGTCAAAATAATGATTTAAAGCAATTAGGATGACATTGTAAATGTAAATGGTAAAGAAAGTTTTTCTGTGCTTAATAAAATAAAACAAATTCGGTTAAAATAATTAAATAAAATATATCTGAATAAAAACAAATTAGCAAATTATATTCAATTAAAAACAAATGCATAATGAAGTAACAATATTAATAGATCAAGAAATATCCAAGTTCATTTACAAAAAATTAAGCAATCAATCAAAACTGCATTATTAATTATATAATATAACACAAAATTATTTTCAGATGATTTTAATAACAAACACATGTAAAAATTGACACTAGAAAACTTGTTCACACTCGTTTTACTTTTTACAAAAGCCAATTAAGTAAATTCACTGAGACTTATTTTATTTTGCATTGTATAATGAAGCCCAGGGGTCTGTTCTTCAGGATTTTGGATATTGACGATTTGGCATGATCCAGGATTGTTTCATTCTGCAAAACTCATCTGAGACTTGTTGTCATAGTAACAGTTCTAGTAGCTCAAACCTGCTCGGGTGCAGGTTCATTTCATTTAAACAGGATTAGATCTGGTCAGTTCAAGCAAAGATAATACTGAAAGTATGTACCAAATGCTGATAATTTCATACAGTAGTTATATACACTTGGGAAAATAGTAAATATATTCTAAATATAAAGTAAAAATATATATATTAATAAAACTTAAGCAATCTGTACTTACACAATAAAAGTAAAAGACTGCCACCTGCTGCTGGTTCAAAGTGAAAATTTATTCATATGAACTTTTTAGATGCAAACGTGTACACGCAATATTCAACTTTTTTAAAAAAGGATAATAATTTATGCAGTGATGCATGTGTTTTGATCGCTAATATGCTGGTGATTGACACCTTTACCGATATCAAAATGCTTTTTTGATGCAAAATTTAATGATTGAAATCGATAGATCTGTCCTTCACAACACATGCAGCGATCTCAGATCAGTTCATCCAGACGTTTTAATCTGATTCGCAAACTTGTTTGAAAAAACCAAATTAGCAAGAGATCAGTTATCAAGATGAACAGATCCAGGATCTGACAAATAATCTTAGATCATTTAAGTGAGGTATGAAGAACAGACCCCTGTAGTCAGACAGTCAATCAATCTATTAATCTATCAATCTGTCTGTCTATCTATCAGTCCTTCTGTTCGTCTATTCTTCTATCTGTCTATCCATCTCTCTGTCTTTTTATCTATTTCTGTCTTTTTTTTGTCAATCTATATTTCTGTCTTCATCTATCTATCTATCTATCTATCTATCTATCTATCTATCTATCTATCTATCTATCTATCTATCTATCTATCTATCTATCTATCTATCTATCTATCTATCTATCTATCTATCTATCTATCTATCTATCTAGTTTCTTTGTTTGTCTGTCTGTCTATCCATCATCTATATTTCAGTGTTTTCTCTCTCTCCGTCTATCTATCTGACTGTCTATCCATCCATCCGTCCGTCTGTCTATCTTTGTCTTTTATCTATCCATCTATGATCTATATTTCTGTCTTTTTGATCCATCTATATTTATGTTTTCTCTCTCGGTCTCCTCCTCTCTATCTATCTGACTGTCTATCCATCCATCCATCCATTCATTCATCCGTCCATCCGTCTGTCTTTTATCTATCCATCTATGATCTACATTTCTGTCTTTTCTATCCATCTACATTTCGGTTTTATCTATTTATCTATATTTCTGTCTCTTTCTCTCTGTCTGTCTCTCTGTCTGTCTGTCTGTCTGTCTGTCTGTCTGTCTGTCTGTCTGTCTGTCTGTCTGTCTGTCTGTCTGTCTGTCTGTCTATCTATCAACATTTTAAAATATTTATAAATACACTGCACCTTTAACATGCCTCATGTAAAATAAAATAAAAACACATAGCAATAAACCATTAGCAGCAGAACTAATGAAAAAAAATGAGCTGTAATATAACTACATATTTGCTTAAACAGCCACAGATGCGAGAGCTCAGCCTCAAATGCTGATCTTCACTTTTACTTGAGTTTTTCCTCTGGTAAAGAAAAAAGGCATTTCTCAGGAGAATTTAACTCTGGGGCTCCAGTGTGTTTGAACACAGATGAAAAACTCTGATCTCTTCAGTTATAGATGAGATCCTCCATCTTTCATTGAGTCGGTGTGTGTGTTTTCTGTGTTCCTATCAGCACTTCCGGCAGCCTGTGGGGTGACTAACGATGAGCAGAAGTTCAGGAATGAACACACGAACGCTCACGTTACATACATACAAACACACACTGGACACGACAGCTGGCGGGAGGAAGAGGCTCTCCATTGAGAAACATCTCATTAAATCAAATGAGTCAAGTTTCCCCTCTTCAACCGCAGAAACGCACGCTGGGCTAATGACTGGATTCAGAAGTCCTGATTTCCAATGATTCACGGCGTGATCAGAAATGTCATCTGGGCCCCAAACTAATGACACAGATTTACACTGCAGTCGTGATAGAGCACACGCTGGCATGAGCAGCGGGTACAGGGCAGCGTCTGTGTGTTCGCTCTGATTAACTGAACTCAAAAACAACAACACCGCGCCGCCACCGCTCAGGAATCTAAATCTGTCTGCCGTAAACCGATATGCCGAGATGCTGCCGGTTCTTCATGTGACTGCAGAATTAAGGGTAATGCAAGATACATGATTCAGCGGCTCAGGAACAAACTCAGCTAAAGCTGTGAATGAGATGACAAGGACAGGGAAAAAAACTGAGATACAGCACTTAAACTTCAGAAAGAGCTCTGTTTGATGGACAAAATGTGCTTTTTAAAAGCTGATGACCACTATATTGGATAGTCAACAATATTCTGCATAACAGAGAGTCAGATAAACACTGTAAAACATGCTGGGTTCCTCATAATTCCTTCATGTAGTCCAGTAGTTAACTTGCCTTAATTGTTTTTATAAATTTAAGTGGATTAAACATATAACATTCAAGTTGTCCCAAAAAAACCCACAAAGGGCCCTATGTGTTTATCGCGATTTGTTGCTATTTTCAGACCAGCGTAACTGTAATTTTCACATTTTGTGTCACATAGTTTAAAAAGTAAATCCATTTTTGCTATTTTGTGCACTCATAGGCATGCTATAGACTTCGCTATTGACTGAGGCCGTACTCACACTAGGTACAGTTGCCTCGAACCGGGCCAAAGCACGCTTGTCCCCCCTCCCATCTCCCCCGACGGCCACGCTCACATCACAAATGGGCCTCTGCGCCTACGTCATCGCTGCTGCGCTGTTCAGTGAGAAGCGCTTTCTCACTCAGCAGCACAGTGGAGATTTCTCTAGTTATATCGTTTCAGTCGTTTGTTATGCAGTGACATGCAATCAAATAGAAGTATAATTGCAATCTATCATATTAGACAAATTTATTCACTGGTAAAATCAGACATTTGCCATTATTAGATTATATTCAACAATATTTAGGCTAGAGTAGTTATACTGACACTGTAAACATTTATTTTCATGC